GCCCCCTGCCCAGTGGCTGGAGTTGGGAGGTACCCCTGACCGTGGGGCTACGAGCTGGGGGAAGGGTCCCCCATGGCTTACACCGACTGGGAACTGCGGGTTCCCTCCCTTCACCGGCTGGGGCTGGGATCTCTGGGGTCCCTGCTGGAGGCGGCAACTGGGGAGCTCCGGTGATCCCCCGCTGCCCGCAGGGACTGGGGAGGTCTGGGAGCTGGGGAGGTCCAGGGGATCCTCCTCCCCCCCGCTGCAGGGCGGTGAGCTGGGGTGGGTCCCCTGCTGTTCCAGCGGCTGGGCTGCTGAGGCCCCAATGTCACAGAAGTCATGGAAAGTCACAGAATCCGTGACTTCCACGACCTCCATAACATACTCCTAGCCTTAATTATAGACCATCAAATCAGGAAGAGGAAGTGGATGAGTCCTTTTACAAGCAGGTAATAAGATTAGCTAACACACATAACCTAGTATGGGGATTTTAACTTCCCTGATATCTCTTGGAAGACTATTGTAGCAAAACATAGTATGTCCTGCAAATTCTTAGTGTGTAGGCGACAGCTTTCTGAAGAAACAACTAGGGGTCATCCATTTTTTATCTGGTTTTCATGAACAGGGATGAATGAATTGCAAACGTGAAGGGGGTTGGGAAGTTGGGAGGAAGTGATCATGATCTGATAGAATTCAAAATCCTATGGAAAGGAGGACATGAGAACATCAGAACAGGGACACCGGACTTCAAAAAAGTGGATTTCATCTGACTCAGAGAAATAGTCAGCAAGGTCCCATGGAAAGACCAATTAGGAAGAAAAGGAGTTGAAGGGGGTTGGCAGTTCTTAAAAGATGTAATACTAGTGGCTCAACATCGAACTATTCGGTCAGAGGAAAGATAAGAGCCACAGGAAGCCAATGTGGCTGCACAAGGAGTTTTTCAGCTGTCTAAAAACCAAAAGGGATACATACAGGATATGGCAGGAGGGGCACGTCACCAAGGAAGTATACATGGGAATAGCACGAGCATGTAGGAGCAAAATCAGGAAAGCCAAGGCAAAGAATGAGTTACAGCTGGCAAAAAATGTTAGAGACAACAGAAAGAGGTTCTTCAAATATGTCAGACAAAAAAGAAAGATCAGGGATGGTGTTGGTCTGCTGCTCAATGGAGAACTTGAGCTGGTAACAGAAGATGATAGGAAGGCAGAGCTTCAACGCCTTCAGTTGTTTCTCAAAAAATAACATGTGACTGGATGACTAGCAAAGTTACCATAGACAATAAAGGGAAAGGGATGCAGATCAAGATAAGTAAAGAACACATCAGAGATCTTCTTACCAATTTGAATGAATTCAAATGAGCAGGGCCAGAGGGTACTGAAGGAATTAGTTGAAGAAGTCTCTGAGCCACTGGCAATAATATTTACAAACTCTTGGATGACAAGAGATGTCCTGGAAGACTGGAGAAGAACTAACGTAGTGCCAATCTTTAAAAAGGGGAAAAAAGACGTGCCGGGGAACTAGAGACCAGTCAGCCTGACCTTGATCCCTGAGAAACTACTAGAGCAATGTGTGAAACATTCAATTTGCAAATACCTGGGGGATGAAGGGGTGATCACTAGCAGCCAGCAGGATTTACCAAAAACAAATCATGCCAAACCAGCTTGATGTCCTTCTTTGACAGGGTAACTGATTTAGTGGATAGGGGGAATGCGGTGGACATCATATACCTGGGCTTTAGCAAGGCTTTTGACACGGTCCCATGTCACATCCTGATAGCTAAGCTGGAGAAATGCAGGTTCGACAGAACTACCATTAAGTGGATACATAGTTGGTTAAACAACCGCAAACAAAGAGTAACTATCAATGGAATGATGGGGGAGGTCTCAAGTGGGGTTCCCCAGGGATCTGTTCTGGGCCCAGTGTAGTTTAACATCTTTATTAATGACCTGGATATAGGAATAGAAAGCATCCTGATCAAATTTGCAGATGACACAAAGCTGGGCGGGAGGGGAGGGTTGCCAATACTTTGGAGAATAGAGCTAAAATTCAGCGGGATCTTGGTAAATTGGAGAACTGGGCAGTTGACAACAAAATGAAATTCAACAAAGACCAATGTAAGGTGATACACTTAAGGGAAAAATATCAAATGCACAAATACAGAATGGGGGAAAACTGGCTTGGCAGCAGCACTGCTGAGAAGGATCTGGGAGTAGTGGTGGATCAAAACCTCAACACGAGTCAGCAATGTGAAGCTGTTGAAAAAAAAGCAAATGCAATTTTAGGGTGTATTAATAGAGACATAGCATACAAATCACGGGAGGTGATAGTACCGCTCTACTCGATGCTGTTAGGCCTCAGCTGGAGTATGGTGTCCAATTTTGGTCACCAATGTATAGAAAAGATGTAGAAACTGGAAAGGATCCAGAGGCAAGCAACAAAGATGATCAAAGGGATGGAATGCAAGTCATATGAGCAAAGGCTGAAGGAACTGGCTATGTTTAGTTTGGAAAAGAGGAGATTAAGGGGGGACATGACTAGTTTTCAGATACTTGAAAGGTTATCATAAAGATGGAGAAAAGTTTTTCTCTTGCTAACAAGAGCAGGACAAGAGGCAATGGGTTCAAATTACAGCACAGCAGATTTAGATTAAATCTCAGGAAAAAAATCCTATCTGTAAGAGCAGCAGGACAATGGAACAGACTGCCTAGGGAGATTGTGGAAGCTCCTTCACTGGAAGTTTTCAAAAGGAGGCCAAATAGCTATCTGTCTTGGATGGTTTAGACACAACAAATTCTGCATCATGGCAGGGAGTTAAGAGATGACCCTTTCCGTCCCTTCTAACCCTATGATTCTAAGATCTATGAATCTGTTACATTTTTTACTCATATAAAATGTTGCATTTAATTCCACATTTTTTGTGAAATTATCTAATTATACTCAGTAGCAATACCATGAATATTCAATTTCAAATATAAAAATGAGAATAGTGCTAAAGTTTCTTTAGGATTTCACTTCATCATTTTGTTTTTTTCTCCCAAATAGCTTCCTTTTCTATCAAAGCACTATTTTCCAGCGCATTTGCCAAAAATTATTTTCTCCACGGCTTCTACCAAAGCAAGATTTCCAGAGCAGATCAGAAAAGTTTTGCTGGAACAGATTTCTGTTGGAAAATGCACTTTTGTCAAAATCAAAATGTTTTGAGGGAATGTGTCAATTCTGATGAGATTTTTCAATCAGAAATTTTCAAAATGATTCAAACTCAAAAGGAGGCATTTTGTTCAACTTCCTCGTTTCATTTCATTCCAACTTCCTTGTTCTGTTTCATTTTTTATATGATCACAATGAAATGTTTTGATAAGGTTCTTTTGATGTTTTAGAATATGTCAAAATTTTGACTATTTGTCCTGATTCAGGATCAAAACACATTTTGGAATTTCCCTAGGGACAGAAATTCCATTTTCCAATGAGCTCTCAAGATTTGACTGTGCTTCTGTCAACACTGGTAGCAGGGGCCTTGGGTGGGGCTTGTCCTGATCTGACACAGATTGCTGTGATTGCTGGAAATTAGAAAACGTTCCTTCAGACTCGGCCTGAGGTAGAGCAATTCCAGTGATCTCACTTGGAAGGCAGGCTCGCATTCCTTTCACTTTATGCCTAGAGTAGCGATTCTAACAGTTATGACCATGTCTAATGCTGATGTTGCTCCAAAGTGTGTGTGGGACACATTTAGGATAGGAATGAATCCCTCTTTGTGTTTCTTGGGAACTGTGTGCTGCTTACATGTCCTGCAATGGGATTTGAGCCTGATGACTCCACATACATCATCCCCTGTGCACCACCGGGCCTGAAGCCCCTCTCTGCATGGCCTCCCTTTGTAGTCTCTCTGCATTGCACAGCCCTAGCACAGGACATCTGTGCCAATGACAGAACAGAGCCCAGAAGATGGATGTTATTTCAAACGTGTTTAATTCATGTTGTGAAAGCTGAGACGAACGTACTAGGCACATGGTTCCACAGACACCATTTTGCTTCAGCAGAACAAAGCTATGTAGCAGTGCAATAGAGTTACCGACAGTCGATGCTATCTGAAAGTGTATAGCTCCCACAAGGCCTTGTCAAAACTAGCAAAAGAGTTCTTTTTGTGATCGGGAAGCACAGAGATCATACACCTCATGCAAACTCAGCCTGGGCCCTTCCAGTCAAGCTGGGTTCTTTCCATTTCCAAATTATCACTAGTTCTTCAGACTAAATTATGCCCATGGGGACAGCTATGGAATCCCATTGTTTTCAGGGAGGGTGATGCGGTTGTCACTGATTGGATCTGAGTAAACAGTTCTGTTGCTGGTTCTGGCTCACTCAGCCTTGATTGTGTTGGCACAGACAGGAGTGACAGGCAGTAAAGATTTATTTTGGACATCAGACGGCATGTAACACTTTTGGGGAGCAGATCTGCAGAGTGAGGTGGCCCCATTGTGTCAGATCCAGTTTCCAGAAGAGGACTATGCTGCTGCTGCCATATGTGGTGGTGCCTTGGCTCGGGTCTGCTCCCACCATTTCTTATTCCACCTTACAACTTATGGGTCATATTAGCTCCATGGCTGCATTCTCAGGATCAAGTAGCAGCAGTGGTCAACTTTTGAGACGGTTGTATCGCCTTTTCTTGCAGATGCAGCTACTGTCATCCATGCTTTTGCTTAGAGCACTGTACAAGATCCTTGTTTTTCTGGGCATAGGGAGTGCCCAGGGTGAGTGCATAGGGGCTTGTAGTGTAGTAAAACAAAATCAATCAGTAACTCTTTGACAGGTGTTATTATTGTTCGGACCTAGAGCTGGCAAAGCAGCCATGGGAATTATTAGAACTGAAAATAATTGCACTAACAGAATTTTAAAAGGGTCTGATTTAGTTCAGGTTTGAGGGTAAGAATGAGTTGCTCTGATTTGACCCCCAAGAAAGTCCCAGGTTCTGGAAATAGAGAACCAGATGGCAAAGGTAAACCCTACCCATTACCCCCCTCTAGGTTCATCTCTGCGAAGTGGAGGGGATGGAAAAGTTCATGGACAAAGATTTTGCTTTGGATGTGAGCTCCAACCAACCTGTCCTGGTGGCTGTGAAAATGCTGCGAGCAGATGCCAACAAGAATGCCAGGTATTGGGGTCATGTGGAGTTTGACAACTCAGTATGTACTGGAAGCTTGAGCCTCACTCAAAAAAATTCATACAAGCCCTGGGTAACAGGAGACTAAGTCCCATTTTCAAAAGCAACTCAAGTCTCCTGTGTTCCCTAGACCCTTTTGAAATGTGATCCATACATAGTTTATCAAGGGACACAATGGAGGCAGCAAAGGCTTTGCTCTGAGCATTCCCCTTGCATGGCACAGGGCATTCTGGTGACACCAAAGACTTACGGCATATGGAACAATATTTCTTTTTTAAAACTCTAGGGAATTCCATTCAAAAGCAGCATTAGGAGAATGCACTGAGGAGTCAGGAGATGTCGGAGATGGGATTGCATGTGGCCCCCTTGTGGGTGGGTGTAACTGTGCAGCCTTTCATTACATAGTTATGAGGAGTCCGGTGGCACCTTAAAGACTAACAGATTTATTTGGGCATAAGCTTTCGTGGGTATGTGACGAAGCAGGGAGTGGGGCAGACTGACCTGGGAATGTTGCAGGGGAGTTTTACTGGGACTGTCTGCATGGGGGATGGAATAGCAGGGGCTGACTTGACTTGAGGGACAATACCTGAGCCTGTAACCTGAGCCAGGAGGGGGGATGGGACCAGGTGACACCTTTGCCTGAGAAACTGGGCAAAGGCTGGAGGAGGAGCGAGACTGCGGGAGTGGAGTTTCAGTTTTGGGCTGGCTGGGAAAAGCAGGGAACCTCTAAGCTCCTTGCCCCCCAGAGGGACCTGGCTGAAGGGTCCTGGTTGTATTTACAAGCCCTGCTTAGAATTGTGTTCCTGTCATCTCATCATAGAAGGCAATCAGGTTGGTCAGGCATGACTTGCCCTTGGTGAATCCATGTTGACTGTTCCTGATCACCTTCCTCTCCTCCAAGTGCTTCAAAATGGATTCATAGAATCATAGAATATCAGGGTTGGAAGGGACCTCAGGAGGTCATCTAGTCCAACCCCCTGCTCAAAGCAGGACCAATCCCCAATTAAATCATCAAGCCTGACCTTAAAAACATCTAAGGAAGGAGATTCTACCACCTCCCTAGGTAACGCATTCCAGTGTTTCACCACCCTCCCAGTGAAAAAGTTTTTCCTAATATCCAATCTAAACCTCCCCCACTGCAACTTGAGACCATTACTCCTTGTCCTGTCCTCTTCTACCACTGAGAATAGTCTAGAACCATCCTCTTTGGAACCACCTCTCAGGTAGTTGAAAGCAGCTATCAAATCCCCCCTAATTCTTCTCTTCTGCAGACTAAACAATCCAGTTCCCTCAGCCTCTCCTCATAAGTCATGTGTTCCAGACCCATAATCATTTTTGTTGCCCTCCGCTGGACTCTTTCCAATTTTTCCACATCCTTCTTGTAGTGCGGGGCCCAAAACTGGACCCAGTACTCCAGATGAGGCCTCACCAATGTCGAATAGAGGGGAATGATCACGTCCCTCGATCTGCTGGCAATGCCCCTACTTATACATCCCAAAATGCCATTGACCTTCTTGGCAACAAGGGCACACTGTTGACTCATATCCAGCTTCTTGTCCACTGTCACCCCTAGGTCCTTTTCTGCAGAACAGCTGCCGAGCCATTCGGTCCCTAGTCTGTAGCGGAGCATGGGATTCTTCCGTCCTAAGTGCAGGACTCTGCACTTGTCCTTGTTGAACCTCATCAGATTTCTTTTGGCCCAATCCTCCAATTTGTCTAGGTCCCTCTGTATCCTATCCCTGCCCTCCAGCATATCTACCACTCCTCCTAGTTTAGTATCATCCGCAAATTTGCTGAGAGTGCAATCCACACCATCCTCCATATCATTTATGAAGATATTGAAAAAAAAAACAGCCCCAGGACCAACCCTTGGGGCACTCCACTTGATACCGGCTGCCAACTAGACATGGAGCCATTGATCACTACCCGTTGAGCCTGACAATCTAGCCAGCTTTCTACCCACCTTATAGTGCATTCATCCATCCCATACTTCTTTAACTTGCTGACAAGAATACTGTGGGAGACCGTGTCAAAAGCTTTGCTAAAGTCAAGAAACAATACATCCACTGCTTTCCCTTCATCCACAGAACCAGTTATCTCATCATAGAAGGCGATTAGATTAGTCAGGCATGACCTTCCCTTGGTGAATCCATGCTGACTGTTCCTGATCACTTTCCTCTTGTGTAAGTGCTTCAGGATTGATTCCTTGAGGACCTGCTCCATGATTTTTCCGGGGACTGAGGTGAGGCTGACTGGCCTGTAGTTCCCAGGATCCTCCTTCTTCCCTTTTTTAAAGATTGGCACTACATTAGCCTTTTTCCAGTCATCCGGGACTTCCCCCGTTTGCCACGAGTTTTCAAAGATAATGGCCAATGGCTCTGCAATCACAGCCGCCAACTCCTTTAGCACTCTCGGATGCAATGCGTCTGGCCCCATGGACTTGTGCACGTCCAGCTTTTCTAAATAGTCCCTAACCACCTCTTTCTCCACAGAGGGCTGGCCACCTACTCCCCATGCTGTGATGCCCAGCGCAGCAGTCTGGGAGCTGACCTTGTTCGTGAAAACGGAGGCAAAAAAAGCATTGAGTACATTAGCTTTTTCCACATCGTCTGTCACTAGGTTGCCTCCCTCATTCAGTAAGGGGCCCACACTTTCCTTGACTTTCTTCTTGTTGCCAACATACCTGAAGAAACCCTTCTTGTTACTCTTAACATCTCTTGCTAGCTGCAGCTCCAGGTGTGATTTGGCCCTCCTGATTTCGTTCCTACATGCCCGAGCAATATTTTTATACTCTTCCCTGATCATTTGTTCAATCTTCCACTTCTTGTAAGCTTCTTTTTTATGTTTAAGATCCGCAAGGATTTCACCATTAAGCCAAGCTGGTCGCCTGCCATATTTACTATTCTTTCGGCACATCGGGATGGTTTGTCCCTGTAACCTCAATAGGTATTCTTTGAAATACAGCCAGCTCTCCTGGACTCCTTTCCCCTTCATGTTATTTCCCCAGGGAATCCTACCCATCAGTTCCCCGAGGGAGTCGAAGTCTGCTTTCCTGAAGTCCGGGATCCATATTCTGCTGCTTACCTTTCTTCCCTGTGTCAGGATCCTGAACTCAACCATCTCATGGTCACTGCTGCCTAGGTTGCCACCCACTTCTATTTCCCCTACTAATTCTTCCCTGTTTGTGAGCAACAGGTCATGAGGAGCACAGCCCCTAGTCGGTTCTTCCAGCTCTTGTACCAGGAAGTTGTCCCCAGCACTCTCCAAAAACTTCCTGGATTGTCTGTGCATTGCTGTATTGCTCTCCCAGCAGTTGTCAGGGTGATTGAAGTCCCTCATTAGAACCAGGTCCTGTGATCTGGAGACTTCAATTAGTTGTCCAAAGAAAGCCTCGTCTACCTCATCCTTCTGATCTGGTGGTCTACAGCACACGCCCACCACGACATCACCCTTGTTGCTCTTGCCTCTAAACTTAACCCAAAGACTCTCAACAGGCTTTTCTCCAGTTTCAAACTGGAGCTCTGAGCAATCATACAGCTCTTTTACATACAATGCAACTGCTCCACCTTTCCGCCCATGCCTGTCATTCCTGAACAGTTTATACCCATCCATGACCTCCAGTCATGTGAACTGCCCCACCCAAGTTTCTGTTATTCCAATCACATCATAGTTCCTTGATTGTGCCAGGACTTCCAATTCTTCCTGCTTGTTTCCCAGGCTTCTTGCATTCATGTACATGCACCTAAGAAAACTAGCCGATTGCCCTACTTTCTCAATATGAATCAGGAGGCTTCCTGTCTTGTACCCTCCTCCTTGCATTTCCTCCTGGTATCCCACTTACCTCTGGGCTTAGGTCACCATCCCCCAGCGAACCTAGTTTAAAGCCCTCCTCACTAGGTTAGAACTTCTCCTCATGTTTCAGTATATTTATACCTGCATCTGTAATTTTCACTCCAAGCATCTGAAGAAGTGGCATTTTTTACCCACGAAACCTTATGCCCAAATAAATTTGTTAGTCTTTAGGTGCCACCGGACTCCTTGTTGTTTTTGTGGATACAGACTAACATGGCTACCCCTCTGATACTTGATTACATGGTTATGAGCATCAATCATTCCTGTTACACCCACTCCTGGGTCAGTGCCCCACCTGCCTCTCTGCACCCAGCTCCTGACTCTGGTCCCCCATCTCTGCTGTTCCCTAGCTGTCTATGGTTCGACATTTGCAGGTTTGATTAAAATACTACACATGTCCACCCCATTGGGCTTCTGCCAAGAGCCCTGCCACCCTCAGCAATAGGATCTGCTCTCAGTGCCAAAAAGCACAGTCTGGTCAGGTAAGGCCAAGCTCTAAGCAGTTCACAGGCCCCGCCCTCAGTCATGGGGGAGGGGGGCTGAGTGGCTCATGGCATCCTTGGCCATGTGTCTGGGATGGGGGCACCTCTGAGTGGCTTGAAATGCCCCCTGCCACCTAACGGAGGTCTAATCTAGTTGGGCCAGTGACCTTATTCACTACAGCAAGTCCTGTATGGTATTGGGTTGAAAGCATTCACCAAAGAAGGACTATTCAACTGCATGGGAATTAGAGGAACTTTTAAAATACTAACTTTTATTACTATTATTTATTATTTATCTGACTAGTGTGCGGTTGTCACCATTGTCTTCTACTTTAGAATCAGGACTGCTCAGTTTGCAGTCAGACCTGTCAAAGGCCTTATACAGCAACTGGAGAGTCTCCTTTAGCTCAAGTGGTAGGGGGCTATGCATTTAGAGCAGGTGAACCTGAGTGCTGTCCCCGTTGTTGCCATGAAATCCCAAGTAGTCATGGGCTTCAACACAGGGAAAGCCAGGTAGTTCTAGGCAGCCACAAGTGTGTGTTACAAATAACAGACAAAAATCTGAGGTCATGCAATGTGAGGTCCTTGCTGCATGCATGTGTATCTTACCTAGACCAAAACGGTGTGAAGCTGAACTTAGGGTTGAGAATATGGATCAGCAAGTAAGGGGAAAACACAAGAATGTTGTAGTTAATAAAATCAAAAGACTTTTAAAAATAGAAATCCAGGAAATTTGTAGTTAAGGTGAAACTTCTAAAGCTCCCAAACACTTGGAAGTCTCGAAATGCCCAGTTAAGACACCCACATAACCTTAACTCTGCCTCCTTAGTGAGGCTAGCCTCTCTTCTTCCCATCTTTGTCCCTTTTGTTCCTAGGGCCCAGACAGGTTTGCTGGCCCAGGCACTTCTGTTGTGCAATGAGTTATTTTGGATCACGAGGGCTCTCAGAGGACATATACACAGCAGCTGGAGGTGAAATTCCTAGCTCAGATAGACAGCTACATGCTAGCGTGTTAGTAGCAATGTTGCCATGGCAGCATGGATGGTAGCTCAAGCTAGCTTCCTGAGTACATGGCTAGGATTGAGGACGGGATCACACTTGAGGGGCTATCTCAAGCACTGCCTGTACTGCTGTGACCATATGGCTATCTCTTAGTGAGTGAGCTTGAGCAGAGCTAGCATGTATACACCTACCCAAGCTGGGGATTACACCTCTCAACGTAGCTGTACCCGAATGCTCTGCAGCAGACCTCCCAGCAGTCCTGGGTTTCACAGGACTGTCCTACTGTGACCCTCCAGCCCCAGGTGAAGCAGCTCCTGTCTCACAGGTCTAGCTGGGCTTGGCTCCCCGCCTCATCGAGGGGCCAGGCCACATACGAGCGAGTGGCATGGTGACCCTGTGTACCAGGAACCAGGTCACAATGCCCCTCATAGGGAGCTGAACCCAACAAGCCCTGCAGGAGAGGAGCCACCACTGTGTGGGGTAAGTAGGAGGCAGGCTTGCTCTCAACCCCCAGGGGGCAGCACCTGTCCCACTTCAGCCCCTGCAAATGTTGGGAGATATGCTGCAGATCAGGCTGGCTTCTTAGTGCTTGGCTCATGGAATTGATGAGTTCGGCTGCGATTCTTTCATGGAGGTCCAAGAAGTCACAGATTCTGTGACTTTTGGGGACCTCCGTGACTTCCACAGTGGTTGGTGTGGCTGATTTCAGGGCAGCCTGGGCAGCTGGCTCCAGGGACTGCTGGAACAGTGACCTATGTGGCTGGCTTTGGGAAGCTCCCGAGCAGCGGTCCTGGGGGTGCCCTGGGGATTGCCCAAGCAGCAGTGGTCCCGGGGCGGCTGGAGCAGTGGCCCCAGGGGCGCCCGGAGGCCATCCAGAGAGCAGTCCCTGGGAGCAGCTGCTGGGGGGCTGCCAACCCCCAGCACTGGAGCAGGCCACTCCCTCCGCCCCCATCAGGGGCCCCCTGGAGCAGCAGGGCCCCAGAAATAGAGATTTAGTCATGGGTATTTTGGGTAAAAGTCATGGACAGATCACGGGCCATGAATTTTTATTTATTGCCCGTGACCTGTCCATGACTTTTACCAAAAATACTCATGACTCAGTCTTAGCCTTACTGATGGGACCCATGCAGAACCTGTCCAGTGGCAGCCATGGAGGGGCTGTGGAGGTCAGAGCACTCTTCTTTGTCCAATGGGCAGCCAAACTGTATAGAGCTTCCTTTGTGTTCCAGAGCAGCTGCCTGAAGGGGTGGGGTTGGGTTTGGGGAGTAATGGCCAGGTCATCTTCCAGGACCATGTGATCCTAGGGGAGCAGCCAGGCCTAAGTGATTTCCCAGGTGTAAACCCCAGGGACTGAGGCAGGAACAGGGAACAGAGTGCTAGTTAGTGAGACTCCAGGATAGTCCACAAGAGACGCCAGCCTGAGAGAGCTGCCTTTTGGTGTCAGAACCATGATGCTTTAGCTGAGGTTTCTGGGAAGAGCAAGTTGCCTGTGTGCCATTTGTTACCACCTCTGACCTGAGCCATTCTGTGAATAACCAACTTGCATGGGAAGATCCCTGAGTATGCACCACCGATTGCTGGTCCAGATGGACCTGCCAGGCCCTGAAGGGAGGGATAGCTCAGTGGTTTGCGCATTGGCCTCCTAAACACAAGGTTGTGAGTTCAATCCTTGAGGGGGCCATTTAGGGATCTGGGGCAAAAATTGGGGATTGGTCCTGCTTTGAGCAGGGAGACTAGAAGATCTCATGAGGTCCCTTCTGTTAGGATATAAATATTCAGGCCTGTACTCTAAGAATGTAGGTGTATTCTTATCACTTGGCTAGTTATAGAGGTATAAAAGAAAGAATCAAAATCACTGTCTGCTGGTATAAGGTCCTTCTCTTACTGTGACAGTTTGAGGCCCTGTTCTTAGGCTAAGATCTTTGGCTAAGCAGCAGAGGCAGCCATAAGCTTGGAAGCGACCGGTCACATCCTCACATTCCAAACTAGTCACATTGAAATAAGGTGCTATTGGGCTGTTAGGAATACAATCCTGTCCTGATAGTGCCTATCACCTCCAGAGAAAGGGAAGTGCCTAGAAAATGTAAAAGGAAACTTAGTTTGATAGCATCCTGTCTGGCAAGAACTCACTTATCAATAGCTGGGATGTGAAATCCTCACTTCTGTATTGTTTTGTCATTACAGTTCCCACTTTGCTGTTGTTTGTCTGTATAATCTCTGTCTGGTTCTGTGATTGTTCCTGTCTGCTGTATAATTAATTTTGCTGGGTGTAAACTAATTAAGGTGATGGGATATAATTGGTTACATAATCATAGAATCATAGAATATCAGGGTTGGAAGGGACCTCAGGAGGTCATCTAGTCCAACCCCCTGCTCAAAGCAGGACCAATCCCCAATTAAATCAAATTGGGGATCATGTTACAATATATTAGGATTGGTTAGTTAAATTTCAGGAAAATGATTGGTTAAGGTATAGTAAGCAGAACTCAAGTTTTACTATATGGTCTGCAGTCAATCAGGAACGGAGTGGGTGGTGTGGGGAGGGGAAATGGGAACAGGGAATGGGGAAATTGGAATCATGTTCTGCTAAAGGGGGAAATGGGAACAGAGAATGGGGGTGGGGAAATTGGAATCATGTTTGGCTAAGGGGAGGAATGGGAACAGGGACACAGGTGTAAGGCTCTGTGGTGTCAGAGCTGGGAAGGGGGACACTAAGGAAGGAAACTAGAATCATGCTTGCTGGAAGTTCACCCCAATAAACATTGAATTTATTAAACACCTTTATTTATTAAACACCTTTGGACTTCGGGGATTGTTGCTCTCCGTTCATGCGAGAAGGACCAGGGAAATAAGTGGGTGAAGGAATAAGCCCCCTAACACCTTCCAACCCTGATATTCTATGATTCTATGTGGCAAAGGCTCAGCAAAATCTTCCCATTAACGTCTGTCACTAGTATTCGTGTACTTTGCTGTGCAAATTGCTCTCTGTGGTACTTTCCCCTGTTGTACATTGTATCATTAACTCCAGTGCCCTGCATGTTTTGGCTCTGTCCATCTATCCCTGTGGGTCTGTGTCTCTGGGGTTGTCCATGTATGCCCACATGTGTCATATACCTGTCCCTGTGGGCCAACGTGTGTCTGTGTGGTTTTGTTTCTGAAAGGAATGACTTTCTGAAGGAGATAAAGATCATGTCACGGCTCAAGGACCCTAATATCATCCGGCTGCTGGCAGTGTGCATCACTGACGACCCTCTCTGTATGATTACCGAGTACATGGAGAACGGAGACCTCAACCAGTTCCTATCCCGCCACGAGCCCCAGCTCCCCCCTGCCAGCAATGGACCCATTGTCAGGTAGCCCTTCCACTCCTGCATGGGACTCCTCAGCTACACAGGACTCTACCACTCTCAGAGCATGGTGGGGCAGAAGGCCAAGAGCATATGGGACTTCATGGAGGATGCAGAAAGGGGAGGATATGACTGGGTAGGGGCAGGGAGAGCAGGTGTGATGGGTGGGGGAGGGGACACGAGAGCAGATGTGGCTGAGTGGGAGTGGGGTTGTGAGAACGGATGCAACTTGGTGAGGAGTAATGGTGTTGCTAGATAGGTGTGGGGGCAAAGTGGGTGTGGTTGGGTGTGAGGAAAGTGAGGCAGGTGTGACCAGACAGGGGCAGTGAGAGGAGGGTCTGGGTGGAGGTAAGGAGAGCAGGGGGACTGTATGGGGATGAGGCAGAGTGGGGGGTGGCTGGGTGGGGGTAGGGAGAGCGAGTGTGACCAGGTAGAGGTGGTGAAAGCACAAGCAGGAGGAAATGCCTATTTCATTGTCATTTCTTGGGCTCCTCCTGGCGTCTCCAGCATTCTGTGCTGTTGCCCTGTTTTGGGGATGTGCCAAACCTTTGGGTAGCTGGGCTTGGACAAGCAGGAGCTGCTGCTCTGTAGGAATCTGGCCAGGCCACTCTGCCATCCATGTCATGTTCGTTTCTTACTGCCATGCCAGTGACGTACTATAGGAGCACTCCTTCCCTGACTGGCCCTTTCAGCAGTATCTAGCCAGGGTCTGCACTCCATGATACATCCATCAGTAACCATGGGAGCTTCTGCTGTAGGCTGTTGGTGTCCAGGTTGTTGCCCCAGGGTTTGCATCTTACAAGGGTAGGCTTCTCTGGGTTGCCGAGGATGAGGTCCAGCTGCTCCTGGTTAGGTGACATCACACCCAGGTGGCTCAAGGCCAGCTCAGCAGCCTCACCCCTCCTTTGGCCTTCCCTGTCTCCGCAGCTACACTGACCTGAAGTTCATGGCCACTCAAATTGCCTCTGGCATGAAGTACCTGTCCTCTCTGAATTTTGTGCATCGGGACCTGGCCACACGCAACTGCTTGGTGGGTAAGAACTACACCATCAAGATAGCAGACTTCGGCATGAGCAGGAACCTGTACAGTGGAGACTACTACCGAATCCAGGGGCGGGCCGTGCTTCCTATTCGCTGGATGTCCTGGGAAAGTATTTTATTAGTAAGTGGAGACTTTGCAACTGCCAGGGGAACCAGTGAGAGAGATTGTGGGGAGCTGGCCCCTTCCCGTAGCACTGGGTGATCACGGGGAAAGAGTTTCAATGCTCCCTGCCTGCAGCCATCTCCTGATGGATCAAGGGGCAGGGTGGAATTGGGGGGCTCTGTGTTTGCATGCGTTGTCCAGGGCATTCGCTCCATTGCTGCTCTAATCTAGTGACATCTGAGCAGTCCCGGCATGGGGAGGCACTGCAGTGGGGGGCAGAAAAGGGGAAGATGGAGTTGTGGCTGGGCCTATCCCATGAGCCTAGTGTTTCTTTACAGAAGGACTGAAGCATGTCTGGGTCCCTGTGTGAGAGATGTTCAGTATCTTCTCTTGGTGTGTTGCTTAGATCTGAATGAGAGTGGGGCTGCTTTTCTGTAGATTTGTATTGTCAATAAGTGGGTGCAGCTAAAGGCCTAGCTTGATAATTACAGCAGTTCGATGGTACTTTAACTGTTTGGGCTGCCATGCGAGTGCTGCAGCTAGTTGCCTACTGCGGAGCATTTTGCCTGTAGCAAGGACCTTGCCAAGTGAGCTCGTTACTTGAGGTCACCTCCCACTTAATCCCAGCCCTCCCGCTCCTTGGCTCTCTGACAGCTACCTGGGAAGCGTGGAGACTATTTTATGTGGAGCCAATCAGATCTCCTCTCTAGTCACCCAGAAGCAATGGAAGATAATAGGCATCTACACCAGCCATAGCCTGTTGGAGGTATGAGAGTGCTGGGGGAAGGGGATCTGGAGTGCACTGCACTCTGTCCATTCTCACTGGTCTCCTGGCCCGTAGGAGATTAGCCCCTCATTAAGAGCTATTCTAACATGCACCAACTTGGGATAAAGTCCCATTTGCCTTCCACACACAGTTGTGCTGCACTGAGTGTGTGTCCAATGCTGCTGAGAGTTTAGCCCGTGGACAGCAGGTTTACTGCAGTCTGCATTTGCATGGCTTTGTCTCCATATTGCAGCCTCGTGAGAGAAAGGGACTGTCTGATGGGTGGGGGTGGGAGGTGTCACATAGAAATGGACATCTTTATACGGGCACTGAGTGAGGAGGAAAAGGAGAATGCCCTGGGTCAATTGGCTGCACTTCAATAGCGTTATGTTGAGAGGGACCAGTGACTGCTTTGATTACAAACCCCTCTGAGCTGGGGTGTTACCACAGCCTGCAGTTACCAGAACTGTCAGGATGAGCTAATCAGAAGCCCCACTCCCCAAGGCAGCAGGGGATTGTGAACCCCCACAGGAGTTTGGACTGGTGGGTAGAGGCTTTTGCAAAGTATTGTTTTGGGTGTGGGAGGGAAGGCAGAACACACAGAAACTGAGAACAAATAAGGACAAAGAGAGAGGCAGGCACAGGCAAAAAACAAGAAATCCAAGCAATAGTGGTGAGCCCAATTTGACCTGCAAAAAGCTAGCAAGGGAGCTTTTGGGTCTGCTAGCTAAAGAGGCTTGGGGCTGTAAGCTGAGAAACTGCTCCTCTTATTCTTGACTCCTGTGCTCAGAGAAGCAGGACTTTGTACATTCCTTGTAAATAAACAAAAGTGCATCATAGAAAATGATGAACTCTGACTAGCCACAGAGGGTGAAAAGGGACATCACTGCCATCCACAAACAACAAATCATAGAATATCAGGGTTGGAAGGGACCTCAGGAGGTCATCTAGTCCAGCCCTCTGCTCAAAGCAGGACCAATCCCCAATTTTTGCCCCAGATCCTTAAATGGCCCCCTCAAGGATTGAACTCATAATCCTGGGTTTAGTAGGCTAATGCTCAAACCACTGAGCTATCTCTCTCCCCCTAATGCTTTACACGTAAAGCAAGCAGAGAACAGCTACCAAGAGGGATTTTACAGCTAACAGGCTGCCTGGATGTCCATCAAAGGGAGCTTCCCCCCACCCCCCACTTCATTTATCACAGGCTGACAGGCAGATCCTGGCATTTCTCATTCAGTGCTTGTGTTTATCTGTGTGATGGGTATACAAATCCCAGACGGGCACGAAAGAGGATAAAGGACAGTGCTGGGCCTGGCTAGCTCCACCCCTCCAACTGGAGACAGCCCAGCTGGGAAGGAGTACTGACCTACCCTGCTGGCGCCTGCCATAAGGGACTGGAGACGCCTCCCCGAAATAACAGGACTGTGTGCTGAGCCCGGCTGGGGCTGACAGTTCAGCTTCCTTTTTTATTTTTCCTTACCCAGGATCAGAAGCAAAGGGAGCAGTGGCAGAAAGTGGCCCCAGGGAGGGTAACTTGCGCCCCCGTCCCCCTTCCCGGGTCAATGCAGCTGACCCTCCTAGGGCCCTGGGTCAGAGACCAGTGGAGTGGGTGGGTCTGAGCTCCCCTATCACTACCCTATGACTGAATGGATGCTAACCATTAGGCCAGCCAGCCCATCAAAGACCCTACTACTATCTATTAAGACTTGTGCATAAGGCTCCCTTTGCCAACACGAGTACAATTCAAGAGACTGTAGCAGACTCACCTTCTAGTTCCCGCGCACTCCCCATTGTAAAGGTTAATGAAAGCCTGGCGAAACACGTGTCCTGAAGCTCGCCAGACCCTAGCTCTGATGAGTTGCTGGTGGGAGTGGGTTCACAAGGCATGAGCCCTCCCTGAGCAATTTAATGTCACCAGCCCTGGAGAGCTGAAACCTCTGGACCAGGAGAGAGATGCCCAGTTCATGTGACATGGAGCAAAACAAGGTGTGATTTCTAATGCTCAGGGTGATTGACCACTGGAGCAGCTCACCTAGGGCTGTTGTAAATGGGTCTCATTCCAAAAGATCTGCTGTAGCTCAGTCACAGGCTATGGAACTCCAGGCAGGGATCTCTCACCTGTGCTATGCAGAAGCTCAGATGAGTTGGGTCATGATGGGCCCTCCTTGCCCAAAAATCTGTGAAAAGAGGGAGAGGGAAGGAAGAGCTGAGAGTTGGAGAAAAATATAATTCTGTCAGACAGGTGCTCTAAGCTCTCTCTCCCTCTGCAAACAGGAGTTCTACATGCAGATTGTGATGCTGGCAAGCCAGGTGTCAGCTCAGGTCAGAACCCCAGGCCAGTTCACTTGTGTGTTAGTAGATCAAAGTGTTAAATGTGTCCTCAGATTTTAAACTTAATGAAAACTAGTGGAATGTTCCGTGTATCATTTGCACTTATCTGTTCCTGTTATAATGTAAAAGCAAACATTTACATGGTATATATCCTGAGAATAAATAACCCACCCAAGAAATCTTGTGAAATGCTAATGAAGGATTTAAGGACTTTAACAGAAAATGCTAATTTCAAAGCAAATTATGCATGATGGTTGGAGGTCAAAAAGCTAAGTCATTTTTCACTCATCCTCATCAGAGGAAAAGCCCACATGGGTAGAGATGCTGTCATCTTGCAAGCAAGACACAAGAAGTAATTCTTCCACTCTACTCTGCGCTGATTAGGCCTCAACTGAAGTATTGTGTCCGGCTCTGGTAGCCACATTTCAGGAAATATATGGACAAACTGGAGAGAGTCCAGAGAAGAGCGACAAAAATGATTAAAGATCTAGAAAATATGACCTATGAGGGAAGATTGAAAAAATTGGGTTTGTTTAGTCTGGAAAAGAGAAGACTGAGAGGGGACATGTTAACAATTTTCAAGTACGTAAAAGGTTGTTACAAGGAGGAGGGAGAAAAACTGTTTTTCTTAACCTCTGAGAATAGGACAAGAAGCAATGGGCTTAAATTGGAGCAACAGTGGTTTAGGTTGGATATTAGGAAAAACTTCCTAACTGTCAGGGTGGTTAAGCACTGGAATAATTTGCTTGGGGAGGTTGTAGAGTCTCCATCATTGGAGATTTTTAAGAGCAGGTTAGACAAACACCTGTCAGGAATCATTTAGATAATACTGAGTCATGCCATGAGGGCAGGAGACTGGACTAGATGACCTCTCAAGGTTCCTTCCAGTCGTATGATTCTATGATCTTGCTTTCTGGTGTGAAGAAACTATAAATATGGATTCAAAGAAAGATCCTTTTATCTCTGGATAGTTTGGATTTTAACAGGGCAGAATAACTGAACGAGAAGACAGAGATCCCCAGAGTTATTCTGGGTAGCCCTGAGAGATTTTTGGGAAATTGGCAGATTACTATATCTCTGTTACCATTTGGAATTACAAACTGTGACTCATCTGTTATTATATTTTACCTGCTTTAACCTCTCAGCTCTCATTTCCTTTTCTTGGCTAATAAACCTATAATTAGTTTACTATATAATAGACTGCCAACATTGTCTTTGGTGTAAAATCCAGGGTACCAATTGATCTGGGGTAAGTGACTGGCCTCTTGGGATTGGGAGAAACCTGATGTGGTGGGATTTTAAGTTTGTGACCTTTTATCACAGATTCAGTTTGGGTGGCAAGATAGACAGGATAGTCTAAGGGGACTGTCTGTGATTCCATGGTAAGACTAGGATAGTGATCTGGGAGTTCACATTTGTTACTGGCTTGGTGAAATCTAATTATGGAACAAACCACCAGTTCAGGGGTCTGCCTTGAGATCAGCACTCTCAGCTGTGAGCTATGCCCATAGGCACCAACTCCATGGGTGCTCCAGGGTTGGAGCACCAATGGGGAAAATATGGTGGTTGCTGAGCACCCACCGGCAGCCCCCCATTAGCTTCCCCCTACCAGCACCTTCCACCTGCCAGCAGGCCCTGTGGATCAGCGCCTTCCCCCCACCCCCTGCTATGCCACCTCCCCACTGCAAACAGCTGTTTTGTGGTGTTCAGGAGGCTGGGAGGGCGGGGGGAGAAATGAGGATGCAACATGCTTGGGGAGGGGGCGGAACTGGGTGGGAAGAGGTGGGGCAAGGGTGGGGCCTTGCGGGGAAGGGGTGGAGAGGGGGAAGGGCCTGGGGCAGAGCCGGGGGATCGAGCACTCCCCAGCACTTTGGAAAGTCGGTGCCTGTGGCTACACCAGACAGCAAGACACAGATCATGAATAAATATGAATGTGAACAAGATCAGGAAACATGTCTTGGTGCCTCCAGTGGTTTCTGTTGTTGCCATCTGAATGTTTTTGCTGAGATGAGGGAAGAAGGATTGGCTGTGGGGGTGGGGAGGGAGAGAGAGTGTGTGCGTGTGTGTGCATACGCATCTGTAATCCTGAGCTTCCTATCTCTGTTTTCTCCCATAGGGCAAATTCACTACAGCCAGTGATGTCTGGGCTTTTGGGGTGACACTATGGGAGACCTTCACTTTTTGCCGAGAGCAGCCATATTCCCAGCTGTCAGATGAACAGGTCATTGAGAATACTGGAGAATTCTTCAGGGATCAGGGGCGGCAGGTAGGAAAAGCGGTGGGAAAGTACATCCAAGGAAGAGACAGAAAATAATTAATTCAGGGTGGGGTGGGGAGGTACTTATTCAACATAATCAGCCCATGAAAAGCTTGGTTAAGGATAAATTAAGCTTGAAAGTGCAATTTCTATCAAAACCTTTAAAGAAAGAGCTCCATAAACTTTCAATTTCCAATGTAAACAGAAATACAATGTTAGAGAGGCTGAAAATTCAGTGTTAAGGTCGGTCTCACTTTAAAGATGAAAAAGGAGAGTTTGGAAATGTCCAGTGCAGGTTCCTGCAGAGCCCTCTCTGTGCCTAGGTTCTTTGAGAATGGCCAGAAACGTAGAGGAACGTAGAGGCTAGGGTGACCAGAAAGCAAGGGTGAAAAATTGGGATGGGATGCGGGGGAGGGGGGGGGGTAATAGGGTCCAAAAGAAGACAAAGCCCCTAATATTGGGACAGTCCTGGTAAAATCTGGACATCTGGTCACCCTACTTCTAGCACACACAGGGTTACGTCGTCAGTAGCTTTCAAAATCAAGAGCACAATTTTCTAGGCAACCTTGGCAGCTCCCCCCATCAGATTCCTTAGACTGAGCTACACCTGTGTTGGCAATAGAAACTCCCCTGGCTCCTGACTTCTCAAAGCCATCGCAATCCGCACTGCCAAGTGCCTTTTCTGGGAGCAGTTATACTTCATTGCTCCGCCAGGCACACTAGTTTTTCATAGATTCAAAGGCCAGAATGGACCATTCTGATCGTCTAGTCTGATCTCCTGTATAGCACAGGCCACAGAACTTCCCCACAATAATTCCTGGAGCAGATCTCGTAGAAAAAACATCCCATCTTGATTTCAAAATGGTCAATGGTGGAGAATCCACCACAGCCCTTTGCAAATTGTTCCATTGGTTAATCCCCTCGTTGTCAAAAATATATGCCCCTTGTTTCCAGTCTACAGTAGCAAAGTATCACTAGACACTTAGTCAGGTATATTGTACCCAAATTCCGTATCCTGCATTCTGGCACACTGCTAATGTGCTCTGTCTGCATTCAGTGTGCTTCATTCCTACCCGACATGCACAGCATGGCTTGGCGATGGAAACACCCATTGGCATGACATACATTGCTGAGTATTTTCAGCATGATTCACACCCATCAGAGTCAGTTTCAGCCTCTCTGCAGCTTCAGGCAAACATCTTTTTGGTGAAACTTTGTTGCTAGAGTTGTTTGAAAATGTTTTGACTAATAGGTTTCCTTTGGAAAATGCAGTTTCATTAAAATCAGAACTTTTCACAGGAATGTGTTTGATTTTGATGAAATTTCACTGGAAAAATCTCTAAGTGAATCATTTCAGCTTTCTCATTTAATTTCAATAATGTCAAAATGTTTTGTTTCAACTTTACTGTTTTGACTTTTATATTATATTAAAATTAATATTATCTGCTATTAAATATAATATATTAAATAGTTTATATTGTTTTGACATTCAATAAGGTAAAATTATTTCATTTTAATAAAAACATTTTGATGTTTTGGAATTTCCATTCGGTGGAAAATTTAGACTTTCATTTCAATTTGGAAAGAAAAGAAATATTGAAATGTTGGAATTTCCTGCAGAATGGAAATTCCATTTTCTGCCCAGCTCTTTGTCGCTGCAGCTGCATACATCTTATGATGATTTCAGGCAACTGGGTTAAGGTTTGGTGAAGTTAGCATGTGTGTGTGGGGGGGGAGTTGTGTTGTATGTGTATTAGAATCAGGATTCTAATGGAATGGGAGGTTCCGACTTTATTCCTGAGTCCCCATTGCAGCTCCATTTGCAAAGTTGCTTTCATCATATTTTTTTAAAATTCCAGTGCAAACTTTTTCATTCAGTGTAACCTTCTCCTGCAGCACTGGCAGCCCAGACCCAGCCTGAGCTAGAGAGTGAGCCGGAGGGTAAATAGGCAGGGAGCAAAAGGCTTCATCACCATTGTACCCTAGCTGCTTTTGGTGGCTCGTGTTTTCTGTGTTTGAGGCACTTTGCTGGATTGGGTCTGAACCCTCTGAATTGCGCAGGATTGAGCCCTAGCATGATCCCAACTGCCCTGACTGCTCCCAGTGTTCAGAGGACAGTAGTAATTAGCTGGGTAATGGGATACAATCAAACCTCTGCATTCAATGTCCCATTTCTTGAGCCCAATACATTATTCAGTTCACAATAAATCTGGGACCTTTGGCTTTCTTTTACTACAATGGGGCACCAGCCCCTCCATAATGAGAAATCAAGTTCCCTGGGGTGAGTTTGCTCTTCTTCCAGGCTAAGTATGCCATTAACTCTCTGCTTTTGTAATGTCTGTCTTGTTTTGAAGACATACCTTCCTCAGCCTGCTCTCTGCCCTGATCCTGTCTACAAGCTAATGCTCAGCTGCTGGAGACGAGACACGAAAGATCGCCCCTCCTTCCAGGAAATTCACCGCCTCCTCCAACCACCAGCCAGCGAAGAATGACACTTTGCTTCCCTCACACGTCCTGGTCCTCATCCCACCCCGGAAGATCCACCTGTAAAAACTGAAGCCACTTCACCTGGACTCACAACAAAACCTGGGCAGTGGTGCTTCTTCTACTGCACATTAAACAATCACCATAAGCGGAGAAAAAAGTGAGAAGGAAGCAAGCCTAGATCAGACCAAATCCATAGCTCATATGACAAGCTAACTCTGGAATGACAAAGGATGAACAAGGGTTACTGATAGATGTGGCATGTTCCTGTTTATCAGTGGATTCAGTCAAAGAGGATTCTGTTTTCCCATTTTGGAAGGGGAAATGTAAGGTCCATATTCTCCATGAGGAAGCTCCTTGTGCAGGGAGCGTGTGCTGGAAATGCATCTGTGGATGGGAGCACACACCAGGAAAGTGCCTGGTAAAAGGAGGGTAGTTGGGGGATGTGCCTAGTGCAGGGAATGCAGGTAAGGAACACAGTAATGCAGGAGTTGCCACTAAAGCAGAGTGGGCTGTGCAATTACAAAGTGAAAACTGAACCTGTCTGGACACTTTTAGGTTTCAGACAGGCTCAACGGATTTATCATTAGCCTGGTTAGGATTCCTCCCATCCTTGCTTGGTTATAGCCCGTTAGACAGGAGAAAGCCCAAACACATTGTGTAGTACAATGTGCCAGCTGCTGGGCTGGAATGTGCATTCTGCTTGGTAGGTGAACATTCCCACTGCCATGGAGGCATTGCTTTCTGAGGAGCATATGGTTTACTGCATCTGCTGCAGGACCAATGAGGAATGACAAGCCACCCATCTAGAGGACAGCAGAAGTGCCCTCCTTTGATCCAGGCACGGCCTCTTGAGCGGGCCTTATGTCCTTGAGAAATGCATTCCGCATCTGCTGTTCATGTTGTCAAGGTAGGGAAATCCTACAGCTACCAGATTAGTGGGGTAGGTGCTAGCTCTGCATTTCCTGAGAATCAGAGTTAGAGAGATGTTTTAGATCAAACATTTAATTTCAAAGGGTAGTGGCCATAATCACCCAGTTCCCTCCCCATGTATAACCCCCTCCCCCACCTTCTTGAGCTTTAACAAGTAAAAGAACAGGATGTTGTACTGCTCTGGACATCCGCCAGCACCGAGGGCTGCCACTCCTGCTTGTAGTAACCTTGAGCACCATGATAACATTGTTTGTTGTGAATATAATGCCTGGAGTTACCACTAACGATAGCTCCTCTCCTGCCTACCCCATCTTGGCACAGAAGCTCTCTTGGCATGTCATGTTCTATTCTAGGGCTTGGTCTGACCCCCAGCTGTGGTCTGGCAGGATTTCCAGCCAAAAGTACTTGGGACCAATCTAGCCATGGTTGGAGCTTCTGTGAGAATGAATGTGCTCCCCTGGCATCCCCTAGATTTGGCTGTTGCATGCATGAATGATTTGGGCAGTGTCCCTACTGGTCCTGTTTGCTCTGTCAGTTTCCAGTCAATGTACACAAAGGGGCTTGCTGATGCAATGGGTGTGAAAGTGAGACCCTTACAGTATGGAATACACCTTTGTTCCCTACAAGGATGCCTGTTGTTTGCATACACATCAGCCCTTGAAATGCAACAGAGAACACAGTTGGTCTGATATGCTCATCCTGAGATACGCAAACCCATAGCACTGTTTCCAGTATACTATAACCTAGCATGGATAGGGCATGCGTATACGGGCGCTGTGCCTGTGCTAAGTGAGCAAACCATTGCAGGGACGTGAGCTGTGTGAAATAGTTGGCTGCCTCACTCATCCTGACAGCAGCTGGTATGTCAACACAGCAGCTCTATTTGCATCAGAACCACCTTGGCTATCACCACCTAGCAAGACTTACAATTGCAGTTGTACCAGTTGCCAAGGTGGCTGGAATGACTCGTGAACGTGGGTGCCAACCTCAGGGCAGGCTGTTAAGAAACGAGGCACGAACCCCAAACTGGTTGTATGTTCTGTACTTAGATTTCACCAACCAAGTAACAAGTGTGAACTCCTCAACCATTGTAACAGCCTTAACATGGCTCAGGCACTCAGGGATGTCTTATCACCCAGACAAGCCTGCCTCTGTGATAGATGGTCCCTTACACCAAAAATCACAGCAATATTCAGGATATACAAGTCCCAAAGTACCACTCACTTAGCCCAGGTCAAGTGCACCCTAGATTTCTCACTAAAGACAATGTTTGTAGTCAATCCTGTAATAAACTACCGAAAGGTTTATTAAAAGAAATAAGAGTTATTTACGGGGTTAAAGCAGGTGCCAAAAGATTATGATAGCTGCTATAATATGCAAGCTTTATATGTTCTTTGCTTATGTTTAGGAATCTTTGCCCCTCAAAGTCCACACAGCATTTTTATTCCCTTTGCCCCTGAGTTCAAACTGATGGGACAAACATTTGTGCACGTCACCTCTTCATGGGTGTGGGGGGAGAAATCAACAAGTTTTTTGTCCACTGATGTACCGCAGTGGCTTGTCTTGTGTCTGTAGATCTTTTGTTGGGCAGGAGATGACACTTCTTGTGGTACACTAGTATTTCACACTTTGGTAATGCTTCTCTCCTGACAGTGGTGGGCGTATCCCAGTTTCATAGCAAACACTTTCATAGTTACAGAACAAATACTTAAATATTACCTTATAACATGGGATACAGATATTATAAGTGGAATAATACATGCAGCATCCTACAAGCATTTCATAAAGTATAAACTAAACACATTCTGATAACTCTAATATCTGTTTTAACCATACTAACATACAGGTGAGCCAGACTGGTTTCCAACTCTGTATTTGTCAGTGTTCAGTGAGGCCTGGGCACTCACCATGAGCTGGCACCTGGTCTGCCAGTGTTACACTCTTACTTTCTAGGATTCCTCTGGGGGCTCACAATGTTGCTGGGAGTGTGGGTAATTTCCCTGAGTGAAATTATGCATTTTGGGGTGGAGTGGGGAGGTTGGGCTGAACCTGGGCATGTTCAGTGCTTGTGCATTCCCAACTACACAGGGATCCAAATATTGCAGACTGCACTGGTGCAGCCAACGCTAAGCTAACAGCTTCATTGCAGACACTGCAAACAGGTAGTAGAACCACCACTTGGGATGGCTGTTGTTTGCAGTCCTAAGCTGTTGCAAGCTTAATGCATTCCAAGCAACAGTTAGTGGTGACATATTCTTAGCTAGTATAGACTGGCCTTTGTGCATGATGATGGGAGGAGACAGGTTCTGAGCCTATACATAAAGAGCACTCAGCGCTATATTCTGTTTATTTTTCTCCATACAAATAGTAAGTACCATCAAAGAAATGATAGGAAAATAATTCAAATTGCATCAAGAGCAGAATTTGTCATTCCTGTATTCCCTGAAATTCAAAAAAAAGACAGAAGTTCCTTGGCACTTTTCTTTCCTATGAAAATGAAATCTGTCATTCAGTCGTAGCTGCGATCCCAGGCCCCATGGCCATAAAATCAGTCTCTGTGCACAAAGCACTTCCAGTCTTGGGCAGGTTAAGGCAAATGGCAAAGCTTTAGTCATGCTAAAAGCTGTTTAATCTCTCCCATGAAAAGGACCTTTCTGGAATCTCTGATCAGCATGGGACTGAGACTAGGCTCAGGAATGACAAAGGGCGAGACTTAACGGATTTCTGTCAAAGGCTAATTTGACTTGCTGGGTCCTGAGTTCTAGCAGGGTTTCCCTGCAAGGGTTGGTCACCCTAAACTACTAACATAGAGTATTTTCTTTCATTGCTTAGGTGTTCACAGTTTTCATCAAAAACCTCCCTCATTTTGGTGCCAGACACGACCCAGAGTGTCCTAGCCCCCTTTTATACTGTAGGAACTATCGTTTAAAAATCATGCTTAAACACAGTTTAAATGTGATTGTAGCCAAATTGGATTCTAACATGATTTGGTTGGTCAGGTAACATAGGCAGGGCCCTTCCTAGGCTAGGGAATGGAGGTGTTACCCTGAAAGTTGGATTTGGGCACCCCTAGAATAACCTGCTTATCACCCCCTTACTCTATGCCTCCCAAGGTATGAGTTTCCAAGGCCGTTAAGGAAAACACTAAAGGACACAGATATAACCTTCCGATTAAATGATTTTATTAAGATAACTAATAATCCCTGCTACAGGGTATTCTAAGAATAAAAATCAGAGACAAATCCCTTGTTGCAAGTTGAAGGGAATTTAAACTGCAGTAGTATACAGTCTAAATCAGGGGTGCGCAAACTTTTTGGCCTGAGGGTCACATTGGGGTTCCAAAACTGTATGGCGGGCCGGGTAGGGAAGGCTGTGCCACCCCAAACAGCCTGGCCCCTGCCCTCTATTCGTCCCCTCCCACTTCCCGCTCCCTGACTGTCTCCTTCAGAACCTCCGACCCATCCAACCCCCTGCTCCTTGTCCCCTGACCTCCCCCTCCTGGGATCCCCCACCCCTAACCACCCCCCCCAAGACCTCCCCCACCCCGCTCCCTGTCCCTTCATTGCCCCGACCACTAACCACACACCTGCTCCCTGACAGGCCCCCCAGGACTCCCATGACTATCCAACCGCCCCCTGCTCTCTGTCCCCTGACTGCCCCCCCCCAGAACCTCCACCCCATCCAATTGTCCCCTGCTCACTGTCCCCTGACTGCCGCCCGGGATGCCCGGCCCCCTATTCAAGCCCCCGCCCCAGCTCCCTGCCCCCTTATCATGCTGCTCAGAGCACCAGGACTGGCAGCCGTAAGTAGTGCATTCCTATGGGGAGCAATTTAATACACAATACCGGTGGCTCTCACAGGAGCTCGCAGCCCCACCACCCAGAGTCCTGGCAGCACGGCGAGATGAGGCTGTGGGGGAGGGGGGCTCAGCTCCCCAGCCGGGAGCTCAAGGGCCGCGCAGGACGGTTCCGTGGGTCGCATGTGGTCCGCGGGCTGTAGTTTGCCCACCTCTGGTCTAAATGATGCACTCTGCCACAGATGGCCAGTCTGTGACAGATCGCTGACAGCAGTTCTTAGTTTACACTTTACATTTTACATAGGTAAATTACAATGAAAACACATACACACGTCTTAAGCATATACATACTAATACTAAACTACACTTATGCTCTACTATAATTAAAACTAACAGGCCTACACTACTGAGTCCACTGTGTTGTCAGATGCTGCTGGGTCAGCTCTGGTTACCTGCCAGTTTAGAATGTTCCTTTGAAATTCTCTCTCTCCTTCTCTCTATCTAGCAGTCCTTCCAGCAGCTCTTCTCGCTGGCTCCTGACTTTGCCTGCTGATCGTCTCCCTTTTATACTGTCCTATCCAAACTTTCTTTTGTACTATTTATTTTTAACCTCTGCTGAGCATGCTCATCATCAAACATTCCCTCATCCTTAGCTACCAGGAGAAGTAGCCCCAAGCTAGCCCAGACTGGCGCTGCTTGACTGTTCCTTACCCTTATACTGCACATGCTCACTTGCATTATTTCTACCTTAGAGACACAATCACTTAATTCAACCTTAGTGCCCAGACTCCAGATCTAGCCTACTTTGTGGCCATACCTCATTTTACTCTCAGGTCTGGTCATGTGACTTACAATGTTCAATGGTAAATGACCTGCAGCTTACAGTTGGTGAAGTGACACCTGCTTATTCCAGAGGGAAGCCAGAGACACCGAATGGGGGGTAGGAATACAAAATGGAATCTCGGGGAATTTTTTGATATCAAAGAATTCAGGAAGTTTCCTCCCATCCCCACTGGCTCACCAATCTGTGTTAGAGCCCCACTCACATCATTTAAATGGTGCTGAGGCCTGAATTGTAAACTCTGCGTTACATTAGTATAGCCGGGCCTCAGCTCTAAGTAACTCAGGGACTAGGAAAGATTTGCAAACACTGCTTTTAAGTGTGACTGCTCTCCCATCACTGAGCCAATTCCTCCAGCAGCTTCTGCTCTACAAATCAAACTCAGTGATCTAGTGAGGTGCTCTCACAGCAGAGACAAGAGGCCGTGAGATCTCTTCCTGCATGTGACTCCTGGGAATGGAGGGAAGGGAATCCGAGCAGAGGACAGCATCTGAACCAAGTGCAAGGAGGACAAGGACCTGTGGGGGTGAATGTAGTAAGTGCTGGCACCAGTCAGCCATGGAGAATCATCCCATGAAGAGATGGGGAGGCCAACAGTGGGAGTTGAAGGCAATAGGCATGTGCAAAAATGTCCTATAGTGAGAGTGGCTGGACAGATTAGAAAGGGATGTGATAAAGGGAAAGAGGAGAGATGGACATGATGGAGGGAGGACGGTGCAGAAAAGATGGTGGAGGATCAGTGGCAGGAAGAAGGACGAGGGATGGTCCAGTGTTTAGGGCACTAGCCTAGGAGTCAGGAGACTAGAGCACAACAGGATCCATCTAGTTCAGGATCCTGTCACCAGGTGGGGCCAGTACCAGCTGCTTCAGAGGAAGGTGCAAGGAACATGGAGTGGGACATTTCACCTTTACCAAAGCGCTCTGGCCCCATGTACAGCAAATGTATGGTTTGGCACAACCCTTCTCAAGAACCAAGGGATTGTGGGACTGGCAGTCGGGAAGAGGGGGAGGGGCACGGGCACATGGGAATTGTAGTGGGGCTGCAGTGTATGCTGGGAAAGGGAAATAAAGGAGTTCTGTATTGCCCAGGGTGGGGGGATGGACGGCTTGTGATGTGCTGGCGTTTGGAGTAGATGCTTGTAGTGGTCTCTTCTGGCCTTACAATCTCTGAGATCAAACTTGTGTGGGCCTTGCCACAGAGAGAAAGAAAGAAACATGGAGAACACAGAAATGGCTGGTGGGTCTCTGGGACAGAGTGGAGGCCATGGCTAAAGGTGAGAGGGAGGTACCCCAGGACAAGAGAGTTCATTTACCTGAGAGTTTGTTCAGAGAGCTTTTCAGAGGGTGAAGAAATCGATGCTGAACATTGGCACAGGGCTTGAAGGAAGCCTAGGGTGAGCATCTGCTTTTTGTCATGCTGTTGTGGAGGGCTTTGTGGGTCAGGGTGGGAGAAAGTCTCCCCTTATTTCACTGTGTCAAGAGTAGGAGATAGCTGAGACCTGAGGGAAGGCTGTGGCTCCATGCAGGTGCAGTTAGCTTACTGGAGCTCTTGGTATTTGGACTCTCACTGAACTTGTTTGCTCTAGAAGGGCTGGTGTTTTCCTAACTTAGAGGCAGAGCTAAGTTAAACTATTCAGCCAGGTGAGAGAGAAGTCAAGGCAGAGTTGGAAGGGGAAACTGAGGCAATTGCTGTATCACCAGGTGTGATAAAAGCAGGTGGTATTGGTGCCTATAGGGGAAGTTTCTTCCTAGCACTCCCAGTTAGTGGTTGGCTTATATCCTGAAACAGGAGGCATTTTATCCCTTAGCCATTTTAAACCCGTATAATGTAATTTTAGATGTTCTTAAGATTTATGTTAATGTCCAGCCCTTTTATATTCCTTGTAAGCTTTTGTTCTCTTATGGCAATGAGGTCTGCAGTTTAAAAGGGAAACTAGAAATGCCTGGTCTACCTTCTTTATACCATTCATTGTTTTGTATGCCTTAATCGTGCCACCTCATATCTGTGTCCATGTTACGTCTTTTCATTTTAGTGGACGGTTTCTCAGCCGCCCGGTATTTCTGCTAAATAGTGTGGCAGAGTTGAGCCTAGATTTTCAGGCAGGGGTGCTCTGGGTTGTGCCTAGGGACCAGCTCAGTACTCACTGACTCCAGCCACCTTTGCACCGAGCTCCTGAGCTGCACTGTGAACCCATCAGGTCCAGCCCAGGATCTGTGCATCTGTCTGTGAGCTCTCTGGGGGAGGGACCTTGTCCTATATTTGATCTGCACATTTAGTGCTACAAAAATAATCCTGAGAAATGCATCACCCCCATTGATGCTGATTTGCTACAGCACAGTCACCTGGTGCTGGATCTAGAGTTAGAGCAATTCTGGACATGGACTGGAGAAATTCACAGTGAAACCAGTGGAAATTCCTTAATCTTCCACTCCCCCCTGTGAAACAAGCAGTCGCACTGGTTTAACACCATACGGTTAAATGGCTACAAGTCTGTGTGTAGGAGAAATACATAAGGAGGGTAACTTGGGAGTACTTACATTTACCACCAAGTGACAATAAGATCCCACAAAGGAGTTGGCTGATGAGGATGCTCCGGCTGCCTGCAGGGCACCCTTCTACCTCTATTTGAGTCCATATGGCTGAAATCTGGTTTGCTTACATGCCTCTGTGCACAGGGCATGTGAACTGTTTTCATTCTGGTTTGGTAGGATTGTACATCCACTTAGCACTCACTTAACAGGCATGTGATGACCACACATCCTAGTGGTTGTCTCCAGGGCAGTCAGGCCCAGCTCAGATGAACTTGAAGGCAATGACAGCAGACTTAACCTAGTTTGTGTGACTTTTGTTTCTTCACACAAACTTGCACCGAAATAGCCTGTCCGTTTCAGTTCACACCTTTCTGATCAACTTCAGCAAATTCTAACAAAACACTTTTCTTTTGAAATATGAATGTTCCCACAGTGACCTGCCACGAAATAACAGAAGATGTAAATTAAAAGCCTTTGGATTATTTTGGTGCAAGTTTGTGGGGAGATCAGTCTTGGCTGTGATAGAGAAGGGGGAGCCAGTGGATGGTGCAGAGAAGGAATTGATAGCAGATTGGTGGGCCACTAGGTGTGGGATGGGTTGGTGTGGGGTCAGAGGAGGAGGTTTTAACAGGCATCAGGTTTAAAACAAACAAAGGAAGTATTTTTTCACACAACATCGTCAACCTGTGGAACTCCTTGCCAGAGGATGTTGTGAAGGCCAAGACTATAACAGGATTAAAAAAAGAACTAGGTAAGTTCATGAGGGATCAATGGCTCATCAATCAATGATCAGTGGTGTCAAGGCTGATTCCCTACTCTGGCACTTTGAATGCAGAAGGTGGGGGCCCGCAAGGATTATAAAAATGAATACTGGCCATTCCAGGCTTGTATTAAACTCCCAACATTACAGCTTCTCTCTAACCTTGGATGGGTAGATGCTGCCAATACCCAAATGCAAAAAAAACCCCTTTTGAGAATCCAGAAAGGAGCACTTGGGAATTCCTTCCTGTGGGGTACCCTCAAACCCTTTCACTCCCACTCCAGGGAAGAGCTGAGAAAGAAAAACAAAGGAAATTAGCTGTTGCCCCAGCTAATTAAACAACATGCACAAACCTCTTAGGGACATAAAAATTCAATCCTCTTCTTAAGAAAGGTAAATTTTATTAAAAACAAAAGAAAAGAAAATACATCTGGAAGTTAGGCTTTTTGCTAGATTGAAAAAAACCAAACCACAAAAATTAAGCATCAAGGTAGCTCTCTTGAGGTTCAACTTAAAGGTTACAAGCAAAACAAAAGCACCTGGGGTTAGCACAGAGGAGTCCACAAGCCAATAAGAAATAAAAGAAATAACCTTAATCGTGTCTTCCTAGACCTTCCCTGACTTACTTATATATCTGGGGTTTCAGATAAGCAATTTCTAGGTATGATCTGATGGTTCTTCATACCTGGCTTAAAGCTTCTTACATCATAGTTCAGCCCTGTTTCTGTTCTGCATCTCCTCTCTCCAGCGAACAACAACAGACAGACAAAGGGAAAGTTTTTTCCCAGTTTTAAAAAGTTCTAGCCCTCCCATTGGCTCTTTTAGTCAGGTGCCCACTCCCTTCTTTTTACCTATGGGCTTTTTAAACTCTTTACAGGTAAAGCAAGTAGAGAACAGCTACCAAGAGGGATTTTATAGCTAACTGGCTGGCTGGTTGTCCATAAAAGGAAACTTCCCCCACCCCTTCATTTATCACAAATGGCTATCAGCCAGGATGGTCAAGGATGATGTCCCTACCCTCTGTTTGCCAGAAGCTGGGAATGGGCGGCAGGGGATGGATCACTTGATGATTACCTGTTCTGTTCATTCCCTCTGGGGCACCTGGCATTGGCCACTGTTGGAAGACAGGATACTGGGCTAGATGAACCTTTGGTCTGACCCAATATGGCCGTTCTTATGTTATAGTATTCAGAATGGGCTGGACAGAAGGGAAAGCTTGGTTCTGCAAACCATATGCCCAAGGCGCTGGAATCCACTCAATGTCTGTACCTCGCCCCAACACATGCACACCTGTGAAACAAACCCAAACACAAGACAAATGTCATATCAGAAACTCTTAACACATCTGATGACTCCCTTTTTTACAGCTATCTGCATCACAGACTGATGAAGGTAAAGATAGGGCCCACAATGGAACTATGATTCCAAATCTGCTGTGGAATTCAAACTCTGCAGCCTGGAACCATCTCTGAGCAGGGCACTGCATTTGGTTTCAGCAAGCTAGATACCTTTAGTTTTACAGGCACTTAAAAAAAATCAACCAAAGAGAGGGAACAAAATCATGTTGGAGTTTGCTTTCAGAAAGCCAAGCTGGGCTTTTTTTTGGTCCAGTTTTGGAAAAAGGAGCTCATCTGCAGAGCTGTATTCAAGAGCAAAGCTTGCCAACAGAGCTGAAAAATTCTGACCAGCAGAGTACTGTGTCCAATTTTGGTCACCAATGTATAGAAAGGATGTAGAGAAACTGGAAAGGATCCAGAGGTGAGCGACAAAGATGATCCAAGGGATGGAATGCAAAGGCTGAGCAGAGGCTGAACGAACTGGCTATGTTTAGTTTGGAAAAGAGGAGATTAAGGGGGATATGACAGCGGTCCTCAAATACTTAAAAGGCTGCCATAAAAAAGATGGAGAAAAGTTGTTCTCTCTTGCCACAGAGGGCCGGAAAAGAGGCAATGGGTTCAAACTACAGCACAGCAGATTTAGATTAAATCCCAGGAAAAACTTCCTAGCTGTACGAACAGTCGGACAATAGAACAGACTTCCTGTGGAAGCTCCTTCACTGGAGGTTTTCAAAAGGAGGCTGGAGAGCCATCTGTCCTGGATGGTTTAGACCTAACAAATCCTGCACCTTAGATGGGGGTTAGTGATGTAGAATTCAAACCCGTGCAACTGCCTCCAGTACTGGTTTCACTGTCAGAGCCAGGTCAGGTCCCATGCTTAGATGCATAGATTTAGATGTGTACAGTTGTTTCCATTCACACCAATAAGATGTTGGCAAATTAAATGACATTTTTTCCCCCTCTGGTGTTTCTCTCGCAGCTCAGACCAACTGTTCTAGAAAACAGATAAAGTTAAAGCAGCTAATTAGGAAACTGTCCAGTTACTTCTGCCCCAAACTGACCTCCATCATCTTTAAATTGCTGGAGAATGTCTCAATTCTAAATGAGTATCATAATGAATTTGCTAGTATGTATGTGGCACCACTGCCCTCGGCTGCCTAGAATCAAAACCGATTCACTAGGTGTCATATACTTGACACTGCTGAAAGTTAATGGACACTCTCCAGTAGCTCCAATAACAGGGAGTCTACTTTTCCTCCTCTCCTACCCCCCGTCAAATGGTAGGGTCTGAGTTCTGTTCCCATCAAGCTGCAGGAGACCAGGGTTTGCAGCAAGGTGACTACTGTAATGTGCTAAGTAGCCATGAACTTGTTACAGGATCAACAATACGCTGAGCTATTTGCAAAATATTAATATGAAAACAAGCAGACCCTCTGTGTCAGACTGACCTAGCCCAAGCAATGTTTGGGGCTCCCTTTGCAGCAGCAGTCATGAAGTAGCAAACATTGGACTCCAATCATCACTTACGGACTAAGGTTTTTAAAAATGGCTTGTCACACTTGAGTTCCTAAATCCATTCTGGGCACCTAAAGTAGTGAATGGATTTTTTCCCCCCAAAGTGTCAAGGACCCAGCAGCAATCACTGAAATCAGTGGAACTGCTGGCTGCAGCGTAGCATTTCTCAAAACCAGACCACTTCTTTAGGCACCTAAATATGGATTTAAGATACTAACTTTAGCCCCCTCTCCCCTTTCATAAAAAATCTTGGCCATTGAAGTCAATGGCAAAACTCCATGGCAAGAGGATTGGGCCCAAAATTGAAAAGTTGTGCTATGCTATCACCAGCAATATTGGTGCATTTTCAAGGGAGTAAACAAAAGGGATTTCTGGATTTGATAGCATAGCTAAATCTTGTGTGCAGTGTAGTTGTAGACGTGTCAATCCCAGGATATTAGAGAGACAAGGTGAGGTAATATCTATGATATTACCTCATCCATCTTGTCTCTCTAATAGCTAAATCTTAACATTTTGCCTCCCTAAATTCCCTCTTCAATTTCACTTGAATATTGTCCTAAACTGTTTTGTAGTGTTGATGTGATTATTGGCTGCATTCTGCCCCAGAACTTGCTGCCTTTCCCTGACTCATGTGTATATACAGTTTGTAAAGATGTTTGTAAAACTCTTTGGGTCCTTTCGGATAAAAGATGCTATAAAAGTGTATGATATAGTAGGTATTATTAATAATTGTTAAGCTTCCTAGCAACCACAGGTGCAAAAGCCTCCTTTCTCATAACATGGAACAAAAGCCTATTGCACACAGCAGGTGCAAAGCTGCACCTTGTTTTGTCACTTACGCCAGTGCTAATTGTGTGCAAAGAGGGTGTGAAATACAACCATTGGGAGTTGGTGGCATTCTGCACATACGTTGCAGACGTAAATACTGACACAAGGTGCACAGTAGTGGGAAATTGGGTCCTAGACTTCCCTCGTGCAACTTGGCAATGTGCCCCAAATTTGAATTGGTGAAGCACGGAGAGTTTTATAAAAGAGCTTGCCTTTAAGAGGTGTGGCACACCTGTAGCTCCCATTGACTCCACGTGTAGTTCAGCATGATCAGTATCTTTGCAAAGCAGGTCCATAAAGGGCAACAGGTCAGATTTCCTCTCCCAGCAGTAAGTCATCATCAGTGTAAATCTACTGACTTGAATGAGGAGAGAAGGAGAAGAATGTTGCCCGTGTCTAACTGATGTGGATGGTTTATTGCTCTGTGCCTGTGTTGTAAATACCAAGCGTATCTGTTTAATGAACCTTCATGTCTGTTTTCCTGCCCTCCCCAACTGCAGAAAGTATGTCTCTGAAACAACGTTGTGACCCCATTGCTGGAGCTAACGGGTCCTTGTGCTGTATAGCTCAACCTAGTGCAGAGCATGTCAAATAGCGTCTTCCATTCCTAACACATAGTACTTGATCTAATCACAGTGTCTAACTCCAATACTCATACCAAAACTGCTCTCTACAAGTGCTCTGTATTTGAAAAGGAGACATGATACACATGTATAGTTTTCTGTAGTTCCTTATTTATTCTCTGTAAGAACACTTTGAATTGTACTTCTGTAAAATGATCAATTGTAAATAACAATCATCTTTAAAAACCGAGGCTGCTGCCCGTGTTATGTCTGTGCAAACTGCAGGATGGTCCAAGTCACGTGTTGGTGTGTGTGTAAGTGGGGGGAGTCCCGTTCTCATGCGCTGCCCTTCACTGACTGAGACCAGCACAGAGACCTGTGTGCTTTGCAGCAGGGAGCAAAAACCATTACTTCCCCTTTGAGTGAGGACTGCAGGGCTGGCTGTAGCCTGCTCCAGATCCCATCAACACAGACCAGTCCAAGTTTTGCCTCCTTCAGGGTCTGAGGAATGACTATGTCTATGCTGCAGTTGGTGGTGTGATTGCGGCATGGGAACGCATACCAGAGCTAGCCTTAATCTAGCTAGCGTGGCTAAAAATAGAACAGATGCAGCAGTATGGGCTTCAGCACAGGCTGTACAAGCCCCCGAGGGATGCTGGTTACGATCACCATGTTCCTAACCTGCGCCAGGTCTATGCTGCTACATCTTTATTACCATCTTCAGCAGTGCTCACTAGATTAAAGATTGTGCAGGTATATCTACCCAGTCCACAATCACCCCTCTGATTGCAGTGTGGGCAAGCCACGTGAATATGGTCTTTGTCTGCCATCTAGCCTGGGCAGGAGCTCCTGAGTTCAGCCTCCAACCTTCTCTCCTCACAAGTCCCTAGGCGCAAGCTGCGGGGGCTGGCCTGGATGCAAAAGGTGCCTGGGGACCCATGGACCTGAGTTTGAGAGCTGTGGATTCTCACGCAGGATCCTGCTCTGGCTGTCTCTATAGTGATGCTCCTGGTTAAATGGTTTCCCTTTTGGGTGCTGGAAGTCCTGCCAATTCAAAGACAAGGGTCGTAAGTTCCCAAGCCAGATTTCTCTTTCATGTGCAAAGAGTGGTTATTTATATTGCAAAAATGCCTGAATGTCCCAGGATCAAGGCCCCCACATGCCAGGCCCCGTACAAACACGTCACAACAGGCAGTCTGTGCCCTGAAGAGGTTAGGCTAACAAGACGAGACAGGTGGATGGGGGAATGGATATCCGATACAGGGATGAGGGATAAAGCAAGTGGCTGGGCTGATGGTTAGCAATGTCTTTGGTTTGGTCACTGTCTGCCCCCGCAGGCTGGCTGGCATGCTATGCTACACCAGCCTTGAGCCTGATATGGCACATTGGTAGCATGCCACATGTACCAAGGGTTCTCTCATTAAACAGCTTCTGTAGGATAGCTCATTGCACACACTGGGGGCTCCTTGCATCCCTCCCCCAGGCTGCCTCAGTGCCACCATCCCATCCCCCTCTATTTCAGAGACTCCCTGCATCTTCCCCACCCCTTCCCTCATGCCAGGGGCTATTTGTGCCCCTTTGTGCCCCTTTCTCCTCATGCCTCCCATTTCTCCCTTCCACCCCATTCTCTGCTGTACCCCTCCCCAGCAGGGGCATGGTGTGATTCCCTAGGCCAGGGGCTCTGTGTGCCCTCTCCCCCCACACCTGGGTTCAACATTCTCTCCTGTCCCTTCTACGGAGCCTCGGTGTGTCTCTGTGCATCATCCTATTATTTATCATCTTTCTGTCTGGGAGACAAGTCATTCCGGGGATCACTGTGTTATCTGAAGTGGGGTGTGTGATGGGTTTCCCCCTCCGTCGGGGTGCCGCCTGGGATTGGGGTACCACTGAGCCTGCCTGGCCCACCAGCCTGGGTTCTTCTTCTAGTGCTTGCTCATGTCGATTCCACTGTAGGTGTGCGGAGACTTTTGCCCTAGCGGTACACATAGGGCCAGCTGTGGCGCCCTCTGGAGTGATGCGCTCATGGCGCGGTATATCAGACGCTGCTGGCCCTACGCCCTCTCAGTTCCTTCTTACCACCCGTGGTGGTCAGTTGGAGCACCTTTGTCCCTTGCTTCGCAAGTGGTCAGCAGTTTCTCTTCATAGTGAATGCCAGTGAAAATGAGGTAGGATCAGAGTCTAAAATAGGGAAAGAACAAGTCAAAAACTACTTAGACAAGTTAGATGTCTTCAAATCACCAGGGCCCTGATGAAATGCATCCTAGAATACTCAAAGAGCTGACTGAGGAGATATCTGAGCCATTAGCAATTATCTTTGAAAAGTCATGGAAGACGGGAGACATTCCAGAAGACTGGAAAAGGGCAGATATAGTGCCCAGATGGGCACTAAATAAATAAAAAGGGAAATAAGGACAACCCAGGGAATTACAGATCAGTCAGCTTAACTTCTGTACCCAGAAAGATACTGGAGCAAATAATTAAGAAATCAATTTGCAAACACCTAGAAGATAATGAGGTGATAAGTAACAGTCAGCACGGATTTGTCAAGAACAAATTGTGTTTTCTTTGACAGAATAACAAGCTTTGTGGATGGGGAAAAGCGGTAGATGTGGTATATCTTGACTTTAGTAAGGCTTTTGATACTGTCTCGCATGACCTTTTCATAAACAAACCAGGGAAATACAACCTAGGTGGAGCAACAATAAGGTGGGTGCATAACTGGTTGGAAAATCGTTCCCAGAGAGTAGTTATCAGTGGTTCACAGTCATGCTGGAACAGCATAATGAGTGGGGTCCCTCAGGGATCAGTTCTGGGTCCGGTTCTGTTCAATATCTTCATCAATGATTTAGATAATGGCATAGACAGTACACTTATAAAGCTTGCGGACGATTCCAACCTGAGAGGGGTTACAAGTGCTTTGGAGGATAGGATTACAATTCAAAATGATCTGGACAAACTGGAGAAATGGTCTGAAGTAAACAGTATGAAATTCAATAAAGACAAATGCAAAGTGTTCCATTTAAGAAGGAGCAATCAGTTGCACACATACAAAATGGGAAATAACTGCCTAGGAAGGAGTACTGCGGAAAAGGATCTGGTGTTCACAGTGGATCAGAAGCTAAATATGAGTCAACAGTGTAACACTGTTTCGAAAAAAGCAAACATCATTCCGGGATGTTTTAGCAGGAGTATTGTAAGTAAAACATGAAAAGTAATTTTTCCGCTCTACTCCTCGCTGATTAGGCCTCAACTGGAATATTGTGTCCAGTTCTGAGCGCCACATTTCCAGAAAGATGTGGACAAATTGGAGAAAGTCCAGAGAAGAGCAACAAAAATGATTAAAGGTCTAGACAACATGATCTATGAGGGAAGACTGAAAAAATTGGGTTTGTTAGTCTTGAGAAGAGAAGACTGAGAGGGGACATGATAACAGTTTTCAAATACATAAAAGGTTGTTACAAGGAGGAGGGAGAAAAATTGTTCTTCTTAACCTCTGAGGATAGGACAAGAAACAATGGGCTTAAATTGCAGCAAGGGCAGTTTAGGTTGGACATTAGGAATAGCTTCCTAACTGTCAGAGTGGTTAAGCACTGGAATAAATTGCCTAGGGAGGTTGTGGAATCTCCATCATTGGGGATTTTTAAGAGCAGGTTGAAAAAACACCTGTCCGGGATGGTCTAGATCAGGGGTGGGCAAACTTTTTGGCCTGAGGGCTACATCTGGGTATGGAAATTGTATGGTGGGCCATGAATGATCACAAAATTGGGGCTGGGGTGCAGGAGGGGGTGAGGGCTCTGGGATGGGGCCAGAAATGAGTTCAGGGTGTGGGAGTGGGCTCTGGACTGAGGCAGAGGGTTGGGGGGGCAGGAGGGGTGAGGGCTCCAGCTGAGGGTGGTGGGGCTGGGGATGAAGGGTTGGGGGTGCAGGAGGGTGCTCTGGGTTGGGACCAAAGGGCTCAGAGGGCAGGAGGGGGATCAGGGCTAGGGCAGGGAGTTGGGGTACAGGAGAGGGTCAGGGGTGCTTACCTCAAGCAGCTCCTGGAAGCAGTGGCATGGCCCCTGCCCCGGCTCCCATGCAGAGGTGTGGCCAGGCAGCTCTGTGCACTGCCCTGTCCACAGGCACCGCCCCTGCAACTCCCATTGGCCACAGTTCCTGGCCAATAGGAGCTGCAGGGGCTGCACTTGGGGCAGGGGCAGTGTTTGGAGGGGGGACATGCTGCTGCTTCTGTGAGCCATGCAGAGAGGGGCAAGCCCTCAATCCTGCTCCCCGGTGGGAGCTCAAGGGCTGTAATAAAATGTCTGAAGGCCCCCCAGGGCATAGTTTGCTCCTCCCTCCCCCCCAGTCTAGCTAATACTTAGTCCTGCCTTGAGTGCAGAGGACTGGACTAGATGACTTCTCGAGGTCCCTTCCAGTTCTATGATTCATCTGTTTAGCCTTGTGCTTCTCTGTAAATAGTTTGAAGTGTTGTTAGTTAATAGTTAAGTACCCGTTAAGTGTTTAGTTAGATAGTGTCCCAGTGGGGACTTTGCCATGCCCGGATCTCCAGGTTTCAAGCCTGTTCACAGTGTAACAGGCTTATGCCTGTTAGTGACCAGCACAAAAGTTGTTTGCAGTGCCTTGGGGAAACCCATATAGAGGAGTGTTGTCGTATCTGCCAGAACTTTTGTAAAAGGACTCAGAAGGAGCACGGCATCCACCTCAGGGCACTCCTGATGCAGGCTGCCCGCATCCAGCTTCAGAGTCAGTGAGGCCCGAACTGGCACCCAGCTCTTCAGCTTCGGTGCATAGCGCACCTCTGGCACTGGGGTCCTCCCGGCACTGATCCCTGTCACCGGTGCCAAAGAAGAAGCCTAAGAAGATGGCATCAGCCAAGCCTGACAAAGGGGGTCTGGGCAAAGGACCCTGTTCAGGCCTTCCGTCTATTCCGGACCCGTTGAAGGGTTCAGCCACGGAGGGTTCCTCCCACAGAATGGACCCGCCACCAACTCTGGGGAGCGGTAAAGGGCCTAAGCAAATGGCGCAACAGGTCCCCTCTGAGGGTCCAGCCCTGGGAGAGTCCTCAGCACCTCCGCTGCATGTGGCAAAGGACCCGGCTAAGTCTCGCCATGAGGGCAAGCCCTCTGGAAAGGCCTTGCACAAATCAGGTGAGCGCCGCCAATCTCCAGAGCCAAGACAGCCAGAGGTCGCCACTTTCTTGGTCTCCGCATCAGCCCAGGTCTCTGGCTAGCTACTACGAGTCTCTGGCACC